GGCCCCTCAGCGCCATCGTACCCAGCTCACGTTCGGATCGTCCATCCCTTCCAGGGTGGCGACGAGCGTTTTATGCATCACGATCGGCCCCTCAGCGCCATCGTGTCCAGATTCACGGTTCGGATCGCCCATTCCCTCCAGGATGGCGACGACCGTCTTATGCAGTACGATCGGCCCCTCAGCGCCATCGTACCCAGCTCACGTTCGGATCGTCCATCCCTTCCAGGGTGGCGACGAGCGTCTTATGCATCACGATCGGCCCCTCAGCGCCATCGTGTCCAGATTCACGGTTCGGATCGCCCATTCCCTCCAGGATGGCGACGACCGTCTTATGCAGTACGATCGGCCCCTCAGCGCCATCGTACCCAGCTCACGTTCGGATCGTCCATCCCTTCCAGGGTGGCGACGAGCGTTTTATGCATCACGATCGGCCCCTCAGCGCCATCGTGTCCTGATTCACGGTTCGGATCGCCCATTTCCCTCCAGGATGGCGACGACCGTCTTATGCAGTACGATCGGCCCCTCAGCGCCATCGTACCCAGCTCACGTTCGGCTCGTCCATCCCTTCCAGGGTGGCGACGAACGTCTTATGCATCACGATCGGCCCCTCAGCGCCATCGTGTCCGGATTCACGGTTCGGATCACCCATTCCCTCCAGGATGGCGACGACCGTCTTATGCAGTACGATCGGCCCCTCAGCGCCATCGTACCCAGCTCACGTTCGGCTCGTTCATCCCTTCCAGGGTGGCGACGAACGTCTTATGCATCACGATCGGCCACTCAGCGCCATCGTGTCCAGTTCACGGTTCGGCTCGCCCATTCCCTCCAGGATGGCGACGACCGTCTTGTGCAGTATGATCGGCCCCTCAGCGCCATCATACCCAGCTCACGTTCAGCTCGTCCATCCCTTCCAGGGTGGCGACGAACGCCTTATGCATCACGATCGGCCACTCAGCGCCATCGTGTCCAGTTCACGGTTCGGCTCGCCCATTCCCTCCAGGATGGCGACGACCGTCTTGTGCAATATGATCGGCCCCTCAGCGCCATCATACCCAGCTCACGTTCAGCTCGTCCATCCCTTCCAGGGTGGCGACGAACGCCTTATGCATCACGATCGGCCCCTCAGCGCCATCGTACCTGGCTTCACGGTTCGGCTCGCACATTCCCTTCAGGATGGCGACGACCGTCTTATGCAGCACGATCGGCCCCTCAGCGCCATCGTGTCTCTTTCACGTCCGGATCGCGCATCCCTTCCAGGATGGCGACGAACGTCTTATGCAGTGCGATCGGCCCCTCAGCGCCATCGTACCTGGCTTCACGGTTCGGTTCGCACATTCCCTTCAGGATGGCGACGACCGTCTTATGCAGCACGATCGGCCCCTCAGCGCCATCGTACCTGGCTTCACGGTTCGGCTCGCACATTCCCTTCAGGATGGCGACGACCGTCTTATGCAGCACGATCGGCCCCTCAGCGCCATCGTGTCTCTTTCACGTCCGGATCGCACATTCCCTTCAGGATGGCGACGACCGTCTTATGCAGCACGATCGGCCCCTCAGCGCCATCGTGTCTCTTTCACGTCCGGATCACGCATCCCTTCCAGGATGGCGACGAACGTCTTATGCAGTGCGATCGGCCCCTCAGCGCCATCGTACCTGGCTTCACGGTTCGGCTCGCACATTCCCTTCAGGATGGCGACGACCGTCTTATGCAGCACGATCGGCCCCTCAGCGCCATCGTGTCTCTTTCACGTCCGGATCGCGCATCCCTTCCAGGATGGCGACGAACGTCTTATGCAGTGCGATCGGCCCCTCAGCGCCATCGTACCTGGCTTCACGGTTCGGCTCGCACATTCCCTTCAGGATGGCGACGGCCGTCTTATGCAGCACGATCGGCCCCTCAGCGCCATCGTGTCTCTTTCACGTTCGGATCACGCATCCCCTCCAGGATGGCGATCGACCGTCTTATGCAGCATGATTGGCCCCTCGGTGGCATCATGTCTAGTCCACCTTCGGCTCCGCCCATGCCATCTCGGATGGGGGACCCGTCTTATGCAGCACGTCTGCTTCTCGGCGCTGACATGCCCGTGTTATCGATGAGAGCTACTGCTTCTATCACATCTTGCATTCCCTCTCTCATACATTACATACATACATTACATGCATACATACATTCATGCATCATACCTCATACATTCATACATACACACGTGCATCATGTTTTGATAGTACCGCGACGTCGGGTTATAGATGATGGACCTCTAAGCTTCTCCGATTGGAAAGCTCGAGTCAGAGTCCTTTACTCCCGCCTGATGCATTCAGGGGGAGTGTGCCCGTGGAGGAGCACCCTTCGCCCGACCCTGTCGGGAAGGGGGGTGCCTCACTGGTAGATTACGTTCAGGAGTGCAGACACTCACTCATATATGATGATTATGTGAAGACACAGTTTCCAGCAAGACAGAGGAAGAGCGCAGGCAGAGTATATTTTCTCGAGCAGATTCGCGAGCTCACTACTCAAGAAACTGGGGGACTTGTGTTGGGATATATTATCCCGGCCTATTACTGTTCAGGGGCCCAAGACATTATCCAGTACGGAGCCCGAGCAGCTAGGCCCATTTCGGCCCATTAGGCCCGATATTGGCCCGTTTGGCCCATTAGGGTGGAGAGCACCCTTTCCCTTTGTCTATAAATAGGGAGCTTAGCCTCCATATTATGGATCTTTTTCCTTCTTCCTTTAGCTCTCTAGATTAGATAATACTCCATGAATGGGAGCTCAAAATGTACTATGTAATGGTGAGGAGAGTCCTAATGAGAAAGAGAGGGCTTGGACATTAGCCTAAAAAGTCCCGTGGTTTTCTCCCTTTCGGGTTTCCACGTAAAAACTGAGTGTTCATACATATATTTACTATATCGTGTTGGATTAAACTCAACAAGAATATATATAAAAAAAGATACAACATCCAAGCCTTAGTCCCAAACGATATTGGGGTCGACTAACATGAATCGATATATGATATCACCAAAAGGAAAAGAACGAAAACAAAGATAAAAAAGATAAGCTATTATAAAAAAAGATAATATAAAAGAGATGAATATACATATAAAAGATCAAATAAAAAGGATAAAGTAATATTTATATATAAGGATAAAAATATAAAAGAAAAAAAAAGGAGAAAAGATGATACAAGATCACTCTTCCACACGAATACCCGCCCTCCATTTTGCTCTCTCCAAAGCCATACTCTCATCCAATCCAAGAAGAAGCATATCACTTCTGACTCCCCTAACCCACGTCTGTTTGGGCCTTCCTCTCCCTCTCTTCCCTACCTCTTCTCCACACATCTCAACTCGTCTGACAGGTGCATCACTCGGTCTTCTATACACATGACCAAACCACCGTAGGCGTGACTCCCGCATCTTATCTTCAATAGGTGCTACTCCCACCCTTTGTCTAATTGTCTCATTCCTCACGCGGTCCTTTCTAGTATGCCCACACATCCAACGCAGCATGCGCATCTCTGCCACACTCATCTTTTGAATGTGACATTGTTTCACCGCCCAACACTCCGTGCCATACAGTAATGCAGGCCTAATTGTTGTCCTATAAAATTTACCCTTCAGTCTAGTCGGCATACCTCGATCGCATAGAAATCCTGACGCAGTCTTCCACTTCATCCACCCTGTTCTGATTCTATGGGATACATCTCCATCTAACTCACCGTCCTTCTGAATTATGGAGCCCAAGTAACAGAACATATCGCTGACCGGTATCTCATTACCATCTAAAGTAATTCCGCTATTACCACTGCTTCTACCTCCACCAAACTTGCACTCCATGTACTCTGTCTTGCTTCTACTTAGTCTGAAACCCTTGTTCTCCAATGTCTGTCGCCATACTTCCAACTTTGCTTTAACCCCTGATTGCGTCTCATCAATCAATACAATATCGTTGGCAAACATCATGCACCACGGTATATCGTCTTGAATTGACTTTGTAAGTTCATCCATGACTATGACAAATAAAAAAGGGCTCAGAGTCGATCCTTGGTGCACTCCGATAGTAATAGGGAACTCCGCAATCCTCCCTACACTAGTACGAACACTTGTAGTACTATCCTCATACATATCCATGATGATGCTGATATACTTGCGTGAAATGCCTTTTCTAGTTAAGGCCCACCAAAGAACTTCTCGAGGTACCCTATCATATGCCTTTTCTAAGTCAATGAACACTAAATGCAAATCCTTGTGAGCGTCTCTATACTTCTCCATAAGTTGCCGAAGAAGGTGAATAGCCTCAGTTGTTGAGCGACCAGGCATAAAACCGAATTGATTCTCTGAAATCTTCACCGTTCTTCGAAGTCTTTGCTCAATCACTCGCTCCCAAAGTTTCATGGTATGACTCATAAGCTTAATCCATCGATAGTTGGCACATTCTTGTACATCACCTTTATTCTTAAATAAGGGAATAAGAGTACTCTTTCTCCAACTCGTTGACATCTTGTTGTTTCTCCAAATTTTGTTGAAGAAATTTGTTAACCACCCGATGCCTCTCTCCCCCAAACTTCTCCAAGCCTCGATCGGTATGCCATCTGGACCCAATGCTTTCTTCCGCCCCATCTTCCTCAGAGCCTCTTTAACTTCCGTTGGTTGGATCCTTCTCACAAAATCACGATTTACCATACAATCTGATAAAAAAAGATAAAGGGATAAAAAACATAAGAAAGGTAAAGAAGATAGATGATATAAAGAAGATAGAGGGCAAAAAATGATATAAAAAATATTATACTTCTTAATGCATTAATAAAAAATGAAATCAGAGTAGAGTGTGAACAGTGCAAATATAGAAGTATAATAAAAGAATGAAGGTAGTCAATCCTACCTTGTTTTGCTTTTATTATTGTTTTATTATTTTTATTTTTGTGGTTGTTGTATTATTACAATTATTATTGTTCTTACTGTTGTTATTATGATTATGATTGTTATCATTATATTTATTCCAGAACAGAGCAGAAGAGATGATTTGGAAGCTTTGGGTTATGTACTTATGTACTTTCTTAGAGGAAGGTCAGTTTAGACTTTAGAGCTTTTACTGGATTTTCTTCAATGTTGATTTTTTTTCTCTCCAAACGTGCATTCAGATCATATTATTAACATGAGTTAACAACTATATGCCTCTTTTTTCGTCCTTCAGCCTTCCATGGCAGGGATTAAGAGCTGGTAATAAGAAGCAGAAGTATGACAAAATCATGGAAAAGAAACTCTCAACTTCTATAGAGGTACTTGTTATGTCAATAGCATAATTGAAATAAATACACTTACCTGAAGTCCTGAACTAGTCAATATTTCTGAATTCTGGCTCACCTTTTAATTTATTTTATTTTTTCAATGCAATTTGGTCTGCCTGATTACTGCTCTGTTTGGTGGTCAGTTCTACCTTATTTGGCTTAAAACTCAGCACCAAAAAAACTTGCTAAATGGTTTTTTTCATATCATATCATACTTTATGAGCTACATTACTTGATTTTAGTTCATAATAATTGTGGAAACAGGGTCTATGCAAATCATACCCCTCTGAGTTTATTTCTTATTTCCATTACTGTCGATCATTACGCTTTGAAGACAAACCTGCATATTCATATCTCAAGCAGCTTTTCCGAGACTTATTTATCCGCGAAGGTAATGGGGAAATTATGAAGTGCAGTCCATATCCAAAGCTTTTGTCTTTGAATCTTAACCCTCTTAATGCCGCAGGTTATCAATTTGACTATGTATTTGATTGGACAATTTTGAGATATCCTCAAATTGGCAACAGTTCAACAGGAAGAGTATGTGCTCATAATTCTTATGTAGTTGTTGCTTAAAAATTCGTCTAGGCATGGTAGTTTTACTTTTCTATTTTATTGATTTTGTCAGAACCCAAGTGGGAATGCAGGATTAGGAGCTTGGCCATCTGCAGGACCAGAAAGGACAAAAACAGCAGGTGCTTTTCTTCAATCCAAACTCACTAAGAGCCTCTTTTATAGCCTATGAAGTGTATCAAAATAGTAAGCAGAATAAAAGAGGTTTTTCCACAAATATCACTAAAATATAACTGATGGACAAAAATATTACTATAGTTATTGTGCATAGTCACTATAGTGGTAGAGTTGAACACAATCATGATCACTAAAGTTACTATGTAGTCACAAAGTAATATTTTTGTCCACTACTTTTATTTCAGTCATACATTTGTCATTATTTCAGAATAAAATGGGTGTTACCAACACCTTATTCTCCAAGAAAAATCAGAAACTTCCGTTATTATATGGATAAAATGGATTTCACCAAACACTTACTTGTTATGCTTATCAACAGAAAAGCAGTGTTTTTAATATTGAAAGAATTGTTTCTTTCAAACACACCATGCTAATGTAATATGACATTTTTTCAAATCTTCTGGTCAAGATGTGAGGGAGCAGTTTACTAGTGGCATTGAAGAATATTCTAGGAGACATACATCAGGAGCCGGTCGGCATGGTGAACACGCAAGACATAGATCAGATGATATACCTTCATCTAAAGATGTGGTAAGCATTTCAAATAAAGTTGTGCACTCTTGTATGACCCGAATTCCTCTTCCATCTTGTTCCTGTATGTTTTTATATCGTTTCAAATTTCAAAGAAACCTTATTTTGATCCTTCCAAAAGCGGTTGTTGTGTACAATCAATATTTGGTCATCTAACTTCCTCCCTTAGATGACCGGAAAATAAGTTATCAATAGTATGTTACCTGTGGAAAATGTTTTCACGAGAAAATGTTGCATAGAAATAAGTTGTGATACGTATACTATAAAATTTAACCCACAAACACTGAAAATATAAAACTGATTCAAGAAAATAATCTTCTTCTTTTTTCAAAAATGGAAGTCATTTTCTGAAGAAAAGGAGAGAGTCGAGGAAGATGTTTTCTTTCAGGAACATGTTATTGACCCCATACACTGGAAAAGTCACAGAAAGCTCTCAACCAATAGGGCCTTACTACTGACGTAAATTATTATTTAGTTGAATGATATAGGCGATTAATTGGCAGTTTGGCACTATAAACCTTCATGCCACCAACCCTGACTAGTTTAGATTACGGTAAAGACAATGATTGATCAAGGCCAAATAGCCCAAACAAGGTAGACATTCTAGGATTTCTAACCTTATTGCCTACGTCTTTAAGGTCGGGACTCATTCTTTACCAGCTATTTATTATACGAAGTATGTTATTAGGCTTGTTTGTATATAAAACATTGTATCAAGTGATATCTCATGCATCTATATAATTCTATATGTCCTAATGTGTTGGTTGTGTCAACTACTACCTGGCAGCAAGCTGATGATTCAGAGAAGGCCCAAACATCAAGAAACGGTAGTTCTTCAGAAAGAGAAGTAGCCAGTTCAACCCGCAAACCAACCAGCTCTTCTGCTGAAGCCACTTATGGTGGTGGTGGTGGGTCCAGCAGAGAAGTCGTGTCAAGCATCGGCCATTCATCATCAGCTTTCTCCCATTCTAGGGGACCTTCTGATAACCCTGTTAGGAGCTTTGAGTTCCTGTCAATAAGAAAGTGAAAGATAGAGTCATTTTGTCTTTAAATTGGTCACTTTTAGGTCCTGTTTAAAGAAAATCATATCCATATAGAACGTATAAATTCAAATATGTTATTTATAAGCAGGGGCCTTCTTGTCCGGCATATCAATATCTGATTATCTCAGTAATGGCCAATAGGCTGTATTGAAAAAAAAATTGTAGAGGTGGTTGGAAAGAGTGTAGATTATATATATATATAGAATTACATTATTAACTGATAGAAACATTTTTGCAAAAAAAAAAAAAAACTGATAGAAGCATCACCCTTTGCGGCTTTGCCTATTAATAAAAGAATCATGTCAATTTAGGTACACTATTTGTAGTTAAAAGAGAGTATGTTGCAACAACTGGTCATCTATTGTTATTACTATATACTACGTATTGTACTACTGTCCCACTAATATTGTGAAATAATCATATAAAACGTGGTGTATTTATTGAGAAATTGATTTTTTGTGATTGATATTAAATTGATAAAGTAGAATTTGAGCAAAGAGTATTTAGAATCATATAAATATTATCATATTTGATATTTGATTAGAGAAATGATGGATGAAAAACAAAAGACGAGGTAAATATAATGAGTAAGAAATGATGCTAGTGATGTACCCTCGATTTTTATAAGTGGCATCTCAATGCACACAAGCTAGTTGAAATTTGATTTGGGTCTATTTTGATACCTGAAATTGAATAATTTTAACTCATTTTTGTAAGGTTAACTTTTCTTTTTTAGGTTGGTAAAAAATATGAATACTCTCTCAAATTTAATTTTACTATTTTTAACTTAATCACCTTATCTATATCATTTCACAATTTAAGCTTTATGGACTTGTCTTGCTTTTTTTTTAAAGGTTACAATTGTAAAGCAATTGCTATATCTTTTGTTTTCTTAAAACTCACACTAAACTCACATGTATCTTACATTATGGGACCAGGTAGTAGAAATTAGATGATGTTGTTTTCTGACCTTGATTGTCTGCCAATTTTGGTTCGATTTATCATTTATGTAATTGTTTGGTCCAGTATTTGATAACTTCAGATGATATATAATACGAAAGTGAAGTAGTGAACGTATTGGAGCAATGTCATGATCTAAGTCATAAAAGTCATCAAAATAATCATATCCAACACAAAACCAGAATATTGGACAAAATTGAACTACCACCAAACCATCTCTATGTCATTTTTGAATCTGTGCCAAAAATCAAGGTTGGTTTTAGACAAAATTGAACTATACCACAAGACCGTTCATCGGTTCATGTGATTGTTTCCAGTCCTAGACGAGGACCTTGTACAACACTACAACCCTAGACATCAGGTGACATAACTGGCGTGTTCTTGATTAAAATGTAATAAATATAGTGTTTGTCATATAAACTGATAAAACTGATAATAGGAATCCTTCATTTCAGGCCTTCAGGGTAGCACATATTTTCTTTGTTTAATTTTTAAAACATCATCAAAATTGTTTAGATTCCAAATAGGCTCAACGTTATTCTGTTACATTAAAAAAATTACGTAACAAAAATGGATTGTCACATAATTATGACTTATTACCATTACAATCTTGATTTTTCAACTTAGAGACGAGTAATGACCAAAACTCCGTGTAAGCATAATATTATATTATTTCGGCATAGAAATGATAGAACCCCAAGAAATTGAGTTTTCATTATCCAACCTAGAAATACAAATGCAATCAGCAGGTACAATATTACCCGCCGACTTGGTGAATTAAAATATAATACGTAATTACGTACATACACACATATGCATATATAAGTTCCACCTGAAATGAACTCCATACCATTCACCTGTTTACTCGATGAAATATGGGATGAAACTTACCCACTCGCTGGAACGCACGTAATATTTTTAACTAATAAACACAGTTGCTTTACCAAAATTGTGGTACATCAAAGATTCAAAACCTTTATATAATTATATGATTTCTCACAATTCACAGCATTGTCCAAAACAAAATTTCATGAAAGATGGAAGAAAAATTTAGTCTTTTTTGGTACAAGAGAATTATGATCTAAAGAAACAGCTATCGATAGCTAAAATGACTCTTAGGCTGTGCTTTCCTTCTTAAGTTTTGAGAGCTCCTGTCTCACAATTCCAGCCTTCTGCAAATATTAAAAAGTACCAAAAATCGTGAATAAAGTTGGCTTTTCTATTGGATTACAAAACGTTGAGATTCATGGAACATAATACGATAGACATAAATCCATTTTCTTTATTTGATATGAAAAGATAAATGGACCAACTCAAAAACAATTTACAGACCTTGATTTTTGCCAGCATGAGCTTAAACCTGTCAAAATCATTCAGAGCTGCTCTCCTCTCCTGCACAATCAACTTCCTTCCCCATGAGCTCTTCTCCCATTTATTCTTGACATCTTGGAGCATATTGAAACAAAAAAATTAAATATATTAGATTTTGGATTTATGGGAAAAACAGGTTACAGTGGATATTCTCACCAGCAGCTTCAAAGGCGGCAATCAATGTCTTCTTTTTCGGGACCCTTTTTATGTCAATTTTTATATCAGTAAGTGAAAGCCTCTTGAAATTCATCTGGCTTCGAACCATGTCAGGGGCGTCAATGAGGGCCTATTGATTTGGAAAACACGCAAACATATCAGCTTAAACTCCAGAGCATGTGTTTCAAAATGATTGCAATGAGGAAAATTAGCTAGAATCCATAATAGCAAGTTAAAATAATGTTTTGTTAGCAAAATACGAAGAAGTTCATAGCACAGCATAAATTTTACTCTGTAGGTGAATGAAGTATCATATGAGAAAAACAATGGCCTCAGATCATATACAAATCTCTGTCATATTAGAATGGTCAGACAATGTAGGCAAATGTATTTTTTCCCATCATAGGCCATAAAGGAATACTTTTGCATTTCAGCTAAACTTGAATAAAAGTAGTACGTAAGTTACTTCAAAATCAATTTTTGGGCATGAAGAGAGAGTTATTAAACGGAATAAAACCATAATAACAAGTTATAATAAGTTATCTTTTGTTAACAAATTAGTTTATAACACAATATAAATCCTACTGTTTAGTGAAATATCATATGTAAACAAAGGCCTCAGATCACATAAAAATATCTATCATATTAGAGTGATCAGACAATGTAGGCAAATGTATTTTTCCCATCATAGGCCATAAAGGAATACTTTTACATTTCAGCTGAAATTGAATAAAAGCAGTACATACAGTTAGTTCAAATTAATTTTGGGCATCAAGAGAGAGTTTATAACGGAATAAAACCATAATAACAAGCTATAATAAGTTATCTTTTGTTAACAGATTAGCTTATAACACGATATAAATCCTACTGTTTAATGAAATATCATATGAATGAAAACAAAGTCCACAGATCACATAAAAATATCTGTCATATTAGAGTGATCAGACAATGTAGGCAAATCTGAAATTGAATAAAAGCAGTACATACAGTTACTTCAAAATTAATTTTGGGCATCAAGAGAGACTTATCTAAAGGAGTAAAACTAAATTACCCTATTCTGATCAATAACGTCTACGATGACGACAAGCTTTCCATAGTCCTTGCCGTAGTTGAGGATAGCGACCCTCCCGATCTCCACATACCTCTTGAAAGGCTGCAATACACATTGATTTAAAATTCAATTACGAATTTCTCGTAGTACCACGTTGAATATTTGGATAGAAAAACAACTATAGGACACTCACCATTTTCGTCTGTTTAATGGAGCAGACGAGCTCGGCCAAGATCTGGAAGGGTTTTTATCGCTAGGGTTTTATTGATCTGTTTGAGTTATAAGGACTAAATCAGGGCCCTGTAAGCACGCATTATTCATAGTTTGGGCCTAGAGCCCGTTTGGCGAGCATGTTTTCCGGCTTATCATGCTTATCGGCCAACTTTTTCACCCAACACGTAACTTTTGATTTCACGTACTGAATTGTGTAATCATAAGAAAAAGTAAGGTTGGTGTTACTTTTCTAACTGTATTGACTGAAGTTACTGTAGAGAATCATTTTAGATATTTTTTTATATAAATTTTATCTTTATTTTATTAATAAAATATACTATCGTATTTTATATATATAATTTTTTCTTAAATCAGCAGAATCAGTCAATACAGTCACTTCAACCAGAACTTCATAAATATCAGCAGAAACAGCCGATACAGCCGATTTCAGTGTTACTAAACGGACTCCAAATTTACAAAGGGATCTTGTTATCACAAACCATGAACCATAGCCCATTAACCAGTGATGGTTTGAATGATTTTGTTTGAATAATGAAAATCTTTAAATTGACCTTCATTCTATACTAATTAGTCATTTCAAACATCTTAATCAATAATCATTTTTTTTTTATTCCAGGGAACGTCTGGGGGAGGGGGCTGGGGGAGCTGGAGTAATTAAGGATGAAACTCACTCCATTGAGTTTCGAACCCGAGACCTCCCATGAGAGAGTGAGTCGGCAACCAGGTGGACTGAAACGCTTTCTCCCTTAATCAATAATCATTCAATCAAACATTTCAATTTTATAAAAAACGGTCAAAACACATTTTACGGGTAAACAACCGACTAACAAATTAATGTGGGGGGTCGTTCTATGGTGCCTCAGTTGTTTGAAAGGGTACGGTACATTTGCCTACGTGGACTAATAAGAGTCTAACACATGGAAATGACGGGAAATGACTTGGAAGGTAACTTAATTCAATTTTTAAAGATTTGCACTGCGGTCCTTAACATGATGACTTCTACTTTGACGTCGAAGGTTATTTTCACAGAGATAAAACGGGCGGGGAAGCTGTAGGCGAAGAGGATCGGTCAAGCACCATGAAGCTAATACCTAGTTTCTTCGGTTGCATCCTCCTGTTGTTTCTAGATATCTCAAACGGCGTCTTACTTTGAATTGATATTGCAGGATAGATGATGCATACAAGTTACGTAGTACTTTGAAACAAAGCCCGATTTCCAGGTGGATACATGCTGGAAGTAAAAGCTTAAATGGGATTTACAAGTGCATTATGCCATGTTTGATTATTTGGAATATCTCGAAATAGTATTGTGATGTGATGTGTGGGGACAAGGTTGCTGAAATGCAAAGACTTCTCAAGATAATCTATGATTATATGTAAGCTTGGTGTATAAGAATGGAGGGTACTAAACAAGCAAGAGAGAATAAAAAAAACTCAAAGAGACAGGTCTACTCCGAGTAAACATGTGAACCATGCTCCAAAACTGATTGCAAGAAAGGAGAGGGACTCATGTAAAAGTGAATATAGGCTTTTGGAGTTTTCACCAAAGCACTAGAAGTGAAGTTATCATTAGAGATGCTCAGGGACAAATGCTAGTTGCAGAATGAAGATGAGAATAAATTAACAAGGAGTAAAACAAAACAAAAAAGCGGAAGTGACCATGACCTTAGTTTAAAAGAAAATGTAATGGGGTAATAACTATTTTATCAAACAATTGGATATAAGGATGCAGAATAATGACATTGGAGTTAAGTGTAGTGATTAAGGTGGTCGTTAAAGTGATTAGGTGACATGTTATTATGGTAATTCTCCTGAAATTGCAGCAGGTGATCATTGTGATATAAGTCTCGGAGTAGTCATGCCAAACTTTTCCCCACATGTGACATACCTTCAATTTTTCTATAATAATGACTATATCTTCCCTTGAAGGTTTCTTCATTTGTTTTAAGCATTGTTGAGTAAAAAAATCGGTTATTACTTTATGCACGTAGTGAACTATTATTATTGGACCGCCATGGTTGGAGATTTCTACTGTTGTACTTTTTTGTATGCTCTTTATTTGTTTGAATTGTTTCCCAAGAGACAGTCCATTGTTCGTGTTTGTAAAATTTGTGGCCCGCCCAAAGCTCTTTGGCAGCCAGTAGCCGGTGCAAATGAGCTTTTACTACTTTGTACAAATCAAACTATATAAAAATATATAGAAGGGAGGAAAATGAACAACATATCCTAAGTACTTATCCCCTGAAATGTGGGATAATTTCTTTTACAAAGTCCCCTAAAATGAGGGATAATTTCAAACATGAGGAATAAACAGCTTGAGCTTAAATTTGCCACCGAGGAAATAATCCGCTAAATCAATCAAGGCCCTCACATATAAAGAATGTCAAAGTATGTCGATATCATCGAGAAATTAAAGATGATTATAAGCTTCATGCAAACGAAATCATTAAATACTCGAACTATGAATTTGAAATTGTTCCACTACCACAAATTAGAAAAAAAACTACTGGGAATTCAAATACTCATCGAAAGGATGGCTAATCAAATCAACTGAAATGTGCATCCTTGAATCGGGTCTAGCCTATATAATAAAATTACCACATTTGTGACACCGCACCCGAACGTCCTTGAAAAAAATTCAAGTTAAAAATTCAAAGTTTACGTATTGAATTTCTGATTCCCAAACAATTGTAAATGATTGATGATTTTACGTAATTAATGATCGATTATTATACCGTCCGAACTCGCATATTAGTGTCGGGCTTGTGAATACTCATTTGGGCCTTATTAATAAATAAAAGAGCCTAACATTATCTAAGTAGCGATACATAACGTTTCAGGACAAGTTGAAGAAGGGCGGGCAGCCCAGATATTATTTTGGGCTCAACCCGCTAAAATAGCAAGTATTCGAGAATGGCGTCGTAGGCCCACTCGGGGGCGACCCACACGGCTAGTAGCCCAATAATATGGATAACAAATGTCAAAATAAGTGATAGGATGATTTGAGATGAATACAAATGCCTATGATCCCATCTTTGACATTATTGAGCTAAATAATGGGAATAGGATTTTCCTTCTATAATGTCCATCATGTAAATAATTGGGATGATCCTACACATATTGGAGATCAATAATGTGATGTAGGAAGTTGACTTGTTCTAAATAAATTAGGATGAGTACAAAAAGACACCTTTTGACAAAGATAAAACAATAGGACTCATCTTTCCATTTTTGAAAGTATTGATAGATATTTTGGACCCCAAAATGATTGGGATCAAATGGGAACCACTCCACATGATATTAGTACCTACAAGACAAAGAAAAATGGGTGAGACAACTATGTGGGGCGGACTTTTGACTCATGAGCTACAACATTACAAAAAGGAAATTAAAGAGGAGGTCCACACCATGTTTGATTGCAAACCAAATATCTCCCATGTTCTTTTGTGAGCCACATACTCTTTTAGCATGTTTAGGGTCTCCTAATACACTCCCCCTACACCCCATTCGAACCCCCAAAGAGATAAGAGAGCAAGGGAGTCCACACAACCCAAGAGAGAAAGAAGGAGGAGAGCAGTCCGCAGGTTCGTTCTTCAGTGCGTAGCTCTGATTGTTTGAGCCATAACTTGAGATTTACTCATCCAAATAAGGCGTGCGAGATACCAACAGAAAGCTCTCAAGAAGAGGAATCCGTGAAGGTCTGATTTGCATCAATCGGAGTAGTGGAAGGCTTCCAAATCGACCGAGCAAAACACGACCTCGCAGAATACGTTTTTGTATTCAAAGTAAGTTTGAATCCAAAACCTTCCTCTCTATTGTCTAAACCATATAAGTGATTGAAGAACTATTATACACTGATTGAAGTGTATAAAATGTTATTATAAAGTGACTTTAATTGTTGTAAAAGTTAGATACTAATCTAGACAAAACCTTGAAAGGTTAGGAAACGATTTCGTCGGGAAACACCCGTTCTAGGGACTGTTTTTGTGCCTTCGGTTAGGAGTTGAACTAGCACTTTGAAGAGGCTGTTTAACACTCAATTCCAAGCAAGGAATCAGTCCTCAATCTTCCTTGGCCGAAGCTTGGGTCATTGGATCGAGAAGGAAAGTTTTAAAGCTCATTTGAGGTGAGGATGGCTGACTATATTGCTTATAATCTTTGGGTTAATTTCATAAGATTACCTAAAGTAATTAAATGTGATTTTCATGGATTATTAATGATTAATAATGCCTAAATGAAAATATCATTGTTTGTGAATAGAAGATGCATAACATACAAATTTATGAGAAATTGTGTATGATGATGCATAATAAATGTGAAGGTATAATGATTGTATAAACCATGAATTTTTGTGATAAAATATACTTTTACTTCATGTATAGAAATCATGAATGGATAAAAGTGATATTTTTGATATTGAGATTAAATCGTATACGGATTAGAAAATCCATAGGAATGAGCCTTATAACTATGAGTTAAGGAGCTTGGGCTGTTTAAAGGTTTATGGATTAGTATTTAATTTACTAATCGGGAATGTTGTATAAAAAGTGATAGAACAATCCTAAGGACTTGGATTGTGAAGGATGCACCTTAAGTAGTCTTATGAGATGCCTTAAGGTAGGAAGGGGTAACCACTAAGTTACATTAGGAGTAGGCCTCATTGGCTACTCAAGATTGAGGAACTCTAGGCATAGAATTTGCTAGTGAGTTAGTATCGTGACTAGAGGAAGCCTCTAGCACGATGAAGAATGACTGGAGGAAGCCTCCAGCATTCGTGTAGGACGAACTAGTATCGTGACTAGAGGAAGCCTCTAGCACGATGAAGAATGACTGGAGGAAGCCTCCAGCATTCGTGTAGGATGACTAGAGGAAGCCTCTAGCATAATGTAATGTGACTGGAGGAAGCCTCCAGCACAAAGTATGTAAGGTGATTAGAGGAAGCCTCTAACACCGAATTTAGTGACTAGAGTAAGCCTCTAGCACGGCAAAACATGACTAGAGGAAGCCTCTAGCATGGTGAATTTAATATAGATGGGCGTGGCTTGAAGTCACGGGGAAAGGGTTGAACGTTTTCAAGGTAAAACATGGGTCTTC